CAAGTTCTTGCTGTTTATCGCCGTATTTAAAACTTCGGAAAGTTATTGTTGGAATGTAGGCTTGTTAAAAATGTTATATTTATAACCTTTTGATAGTTAAATTAAATTTAAAAGCAAGTTAAAATTAATTTGAGCTGCATGTTCATCGTCTCCGAGTAGGCCGCCATTAAAGATGTTATTTATAGATGTTCACACATTCCTTTGCCACGTGCTTCCGTAGGCTAATTACAGTACACATGTACCTAATCAGTCAGACACTCGGTCAAAAAAGTAATAAGTCATTTTTTAATGAAATACAATAAAATAAAATTTATTTTAGGTTTTAAAAAATTCAGTGAAAATTCATTTCAACATAAACACCCCTCTGTACGTCCCAATGTTGTGTACACGTGCACTTGTCACTTGATAATTACCCCTCAACACCCCTCCAAGCAATTAAATTGTTTACTGACTCCAAAGCATTGTTTTTACAGTTAGAGCACTGATTATTTACTGCCCTTATTAATGGCTTTGATTATTTTCTTTGTTAAAAATCGGGGGTTGGTTTATGTACTTTCGTATGCATAAGCGTGTGTTGATTACGACACATTAAACAAGTAAACGCTAGTTAAATGTAATTTTACTTTATCCTATATCGGCCTCGTGTTAAAATGATTGAGAGTTAAAAAAGAAAATATGAAGTATGTTGAAACTTAAGTGTTATCATTTACTTGTGCTCTCGAGAAAATAAGATATCCATGAAGATTACCTCGATGTATGAAGACATATATCCCACCTTTGTACATCATTTTTCACAGCTTTGGAGGTGTGTTGATAACAACACTTTACACGCTTGTTAAATTTTGATTTTATTTTTATAACATCAGCTTTTTATTTAATTAATTAATTTCAAGTTCAAATGAGGAAAATCATAGTCTATGAATACTTTGATGTTGCAATATCGATTGCCTTGTTAAATTTACATAATTTTCAACATGATTACCTTAAACTAAAAATAAATATGACAACTGTTAAACTTGCAACAATATCTCGTGCTTTGTTGAAATAAAATTATTTCCACAAAGAATAGTTAGAATACGGTGACGTATAATTTCAATATCACCGTATGCTAAAAAAAATTAATAATAAAGTCTGTTAATACTTTAATGCATCATTATCTCGTGCTTTGTTAAAATAAATAATTTCCTCCAGATTGCCGAGATATGGAAAGTCAAGATTAAGATATAAAAATGCATCTGAATAAAATATCGTGTTCTGTAAATTTTTCGGCACTTCATCGCCGCGCCGATTTTCATAGCAAATTATCCCGATTTTCAAAAGTTCAGAACACCGCTTGGTAAAATTTTCTGCTGCGTATAATACAACCGAACTGCGTTTTTTCCCCAGTTTCAGGCTCAAAAAGGGGGGGTGCATATTTTACACCAATGCGTATTATATTCTGCCAAATACGGTAAATGTCTATCCAGCATATTTGCATATTTTATTCGACATTCATATTATGCATTTATGAATAGCAAATTTTAAACCATAAAGCATCTTATTTGCAAATAAAAGATTTTTCATTTTCTCTAAAAAAAAAAAAAAAAAAAAGCAAAAAAACTCGTAAAAATAATCGAAAGCCAATATCAGTCTTTCAATGCTGAAATCATAGTTTAAAAGGGATTTCTTAAAGATCTATTAAATAAAATTTTGGTGTGGCTTTCCTCCTTAAATGTAAACTACCCCTTTTTAGACAGTGGCTATTTATAGCCACAGGTTATTGCTTCCATGAGTCTGGGCTATGAATAAACAACAGTGAAAAATCACTGGGACCCTAGCGGTGATTTTTGCAGAGTCAAAATAATGAAAGTGGGGTTGTTTTGATGTTCCAAAATAAAATGCACATGGTTAACAAATACTCTTAAGTTATTTGACATTTTGTTGATGGGCACAAAGTTTAATTCCTGATATTTGCCATTATCAATATTTTTTGCCTCATGAATATTCATTAAATAATGCCGATTACAACTAATTCGTACATAAACCAATTCATATATAAGGAGTCAATATTTGTATGCAATCAACAGAAGTCAATTCGTACACAAATTTTTTGTTTTTGTGAACATGACACAAATGTGAAAATCAATTCAAACAAACGGCTGTTTTTGTACATGGTTAACAAATACTCTCAAGTTATTTCAATGACATTTTGTTGGTTGGTACAAAGTTTACTTCCTGATTTGCACTTATCAATATTTCTTGCCTCATGAATATTTATTAAATAATGCCAACTTACAACTAATTCATACACAAACCGATTCGTATGCAAACTACAGAAGTCACATCGTACACAATTTTTTTACTTTTTATGAACATGACACAAATGTGAAAAGTCATTTCCTACACACTCCTTTTTTAAGGTTGTGTTAATGTAAAATCTCAATAAAATAATAAAATTTATTAATAACCAAATTAAAATTCAGGGAAAATCATTTATGAATAATGGTTTGACATTTTAACTCCGAAAGCAAATAATTATTGTTACCGGTAAACAACACATGCACAGCAGTTTTTTAGTTATGCGACAATTGCTTATTACAAGATGTTCCCAATTCAATACTCCCTAATTGGGAGATTCTCCATGCTTGGAAGTCTATCTCCAAATTTCTCCATTTCCAAAAGTACAATATGGATCGAGGTCTGCACATTCCTTGTTGCAGAACTGCATGTTCTATAAATATTTTGTTTTATGTTCTTTTAACCAAAGTGTTTATTGGAGCATGCAAATACAATATCATATTTGAATATGTAAAATAAATAGTGAGCATAGCTTAAGATTTATTTCTCAAATTTGGAAGTTGTACATGTATATGAAAGTCTTGATAAATGTATCCAGCTTTTTGTATCCTTTTATATGAACAACTTTTAATCTTTCTTTTCGATTTCTGTATGTAAGATAAAAGAATTTTTTTTTTACAATGACTGAATACAGCTATTATATAAAAGCATCTGAAAGTTATCAGTTTTCATGGAGTAAATATTTGATTTAAATTTCTAAATCAAAGACACTAAATTAAAAAAGTGTTCATTGAATATAGATTCACTGATTCTGCAAATTTTTATGTACACTTCAAGAATTTTTTTGTTATTTTGAGGGGGCATTCTTTTGAAATGCTATTGCAACAGAATTTGCTAAATGTATTTGTGTTCTTGCCATGTATAGCATTTTTCTTTTCATTACATTCTTGATAATATTGTAAAAAGATTAATTTTATGGTTAAATTTTTTATTACATGTGCACATAATGCTAAGTGGTCCAATTCAAGTATGCATGTACATGCACCAAAACAAACTATGAATATAATAATGCGAACTGAAATTTGTTTTAAGAAAAATGTTTTCAAGATTCCACAAAATCTGTGATGCTGCTGCATGCAGATTAATCAATTCTGATTATCAACCGATTTGACAACACTAAGTCTAAGTTTGTTCCATGATTCCAGGCCAGGTACTTTAAACAAAGATGTAAATTAGGGTTTGTCATAGCTTTGAGTCAAGGTCATTTTGGCAAATTCATGGCTACTGACAGGAAAATTGTAACAATAATGCCTGGTCTATAATTTTCTATTTGAGAAAAATTGGAAGTTCATGCATCCACAAAAATTATTTGTGAACATAGGGTGTCATTTTCTTGATCAAAGGTCGTTTTGGCAAGTTCATGCTCATTTGTAGAAAATACATGGACTCTTTCAAAAAGTTACAGATATGGATATAATTTTGTAAGCTAAGTACCCCTAGTTTGGGAAACAGACTCTAATTTTCTTGGTAATAGTAAGCTGTATAGCCTTTTACTTGTTCGTGGAGAGGTAATAGGTAATATCATGAGTTAAAAGTACATACAGATGAAGATTCAATGAACAGATACTTTGCCAAAGTTATTGTTGATGGGAACATTCATTTTGGTCCCCCCCCCTTTCCCTTAGCAAATCGATAACGTAAAGTTGAAAAATAAACTTTTCTTTAACCTAAGTTTTTTAGCTCACCTCAATGAAGTTGGGGGAGCTTATGTAATACCGTCGGCGTCCCAGGTGAAAGTTTTTGGAGCAGTTTTCTTTTCAAGTACATCTATGCCCTATATTAATCAGAGATGCATGGAGGATGCTTCTAGTTTGTTTCATTGTACTAGTCAAGGTTTCAGATGCTGCAATTTCAGCTAAAGAATGACCAGGTTAATGTTTTTGGAGCAGGTTATAGTTTTTAGAGCAGGTCTCATTTTCAAGAAACTATAGGTCCTATATTGACCAAACTTGCATGGATGATACATCTAAGGATGCACACTACTGGACTTGCTTCAGATGCTGGATCTGACTTCCAGTTTCCAGATGAGTGACCAGATGAAAAGTTTTTGGAGCAGATCTCATTTCCAAGTAACTACAAGACCTATAAACTTGCATGGCTGATACACCTAAGGATGCACACTACTGTACTTGCTTCAGATGCTGGATCTGACCTATATTTTCCGGATGAGTGACCAGATGAAAGTTTTTGGAGCAGATCTCATTTACAAGTAACTTTAAGTCCTCTGTTGACCAAATTTGCATGGATGATGCATCTAAGGATGATCACTACTGGACTTGCTTCAGATGCTGGATCTGACCTTTATTTTCCAGATGAGTGACCAGGTTAAAGTTTTTGGAGCAGATCTCATTTCCAAGTAACTTTAAGTCCTTTGTTGACCAAACTTGCATGGATGATGCATCAAGGGACAAACACTCTCAAACTTGCTTCAGATGCTGGATTTGAACTATGTTTTCTAGATGAGTTACTAGTTTAAAGTTTTTAGATAAGTCCATTCCCAAGTAGCTGCCAGCCCTATTAGACCAAAATTGCATAAATGTTGCATCTAGGGATGCACACTACTAAATTATTAGTTTAGTGTGGGACTTTGCCTTACTTAAAGACAACATGCGTTGAGGTGAGCTCTGTAATCTCTGATTACCTATGTTTTTATGTATTTTTAGTGTATGTCGAATGTTCCAAAGCTGACAAATTATCTACTTGGAGACAGATGGAAGGATGAAATTAATGAAGAAAATCCTTTAGGAATGGGAGGTGAAATTGCAAGGTCTTATGCTGATTTAATTAAGACAATGTGGTCTGGAAAATACAGCTATACAGTACCAAGGAACTTCAAAGTAAGACATGTTTTCTACACTATATTTAAATTACTTATTTTGAAATATTTCTTATTTTGAAGTAAAACTAAATCCCTATTTTCAGTTTCTTGTTATCTTTGCATTATAAAGTCAGTTTAAGGACACTCTCTACATTGCACACTAATTTCAGGATAATTTTTTGTGATAAGACTCTTCCACCATTTGATATAAAATAGAATAAATTAAAAATGAATTAAAAAAGAGAGAAGAAACAAGAAAAATGCCTCCTGTCAGATCGGCTATACCATGTCATCAGAGAAGTTGATTCCCTACTCATAGCATACCAAAATTTTACCTTGTGTATTCCCAGTAACTGTAGCTGTATTCTTACATGAAATATAATAAAATGTTAATATTGACCAAATATCACAAACATCCTGCATATTAACCGGGGTTGCCCGCATGAAAATCCAACATGCTAACCATTGGGCTATGGAGGACCACGGCATCAAACTGAAAAATGACCAATATCTAGAGTATGGATTGATCAATTTGATACAAATTATATAATTATTTAGCCTTCTGATGGGACTCTATATTATTCATATTAATTTTGTATAAAAATACTTAAAAACAAAAAAGTTATCAATTTCGAATTTTTGAATTCAAATCCTTTGTGACCGGAAGTACGAATGATGAAAGGTAAAGGTCGATCAGCACATCTGTTCTATCATGTCCGGGAGTTTCACTTTCATAACTTAAGCTGTTCTTGAGAAAATCATGGGAAAAATTTCTGTTTAAAAAATACAAATTTTCCCAAAAATAGCAAACGGAAGTGGATTTCAAAAAAGTGAGGAACACCCCTGGAGATATTCTCATGATGCATCTTCCCTGAAAAAAAACCTTTCTAACGTCGGTATTAGCCTAAAACTTCTGTAAAAAGAAAAAAAAAAACTTGAAAATTCAATTTTTGCATCACATCTGGTAATGACTGGAAGTAATGACGACACACATGATTAACACGATGTTAATAACTGATGACTGACTTTCAGTCCTGAAACTTTTAGACTTAAGTCGTCATTGTTGCTGAGCAATTGTGAGAGCAAAATCTAATTTTGAGGACAGGAAAATATGCGACTGGTAGTGAATTTTATAAAAATTGCTGACACTTGCAGTATCTACAACAAATATTAAAAAAGCATTTCAAATACTTTATCTATAAGTGATATTTATGAGAAAGTAGAACATCGAAATTGATAAACCCATACTCTAGATAGTTTATCTCTCAATACTGGAAGTTGACATTTTTGTTTCGATGGAATCTAACATACATTTGAACTTCAGTATCTTGAACACTGATATCTCGAATAATATGGATATGTCGAAGTGACTTGGAAGTCCCAATCCCTTATTCCTTTAGTATTTTACCCTGGATATCTTGAATCCTTAGATATCTTGAAGTTTTTTCTCAGTCCCATTTGGTTTGAGATAATGAGGATTGGCTGTATCTCAAAACAGCCAAAAAGATGCAATAAAGTGAAGCAAGTTTTGATGTAAAAAAGAAAATTAAAAAAAAAAAAATTTGATGTCTTTGATCACTTCCTGTGATGATTGGAAGTGACGGCTGATGCATTTAACCCCAATGGTTTTGCCTACTTCTCAAGGTCTATTACTCATAAACGTTTGGTATTTAAATCTGGTAATGTTTCTGAGGTCTTACTCTGACAACTTCTCATTTTGAGGACAGAAAAACATATGACTGGAAGTGATATTTGCAAAAAATTCCAAGTTACTCTAGATATTTGCAGTCTGAATAACATAATTTAAGAAATCATATCAAATACTTTATCTATAAAAGATATTTATGGGAAAATAAAATACTGAAATTATGAAGTTTTTCTCTTATAACAAGAAGTTGACGTTTTGTTTTCGGTGGGACCAATATATTTCAAAACAGCAATAGAGATGCAATAAGGTGATGCAAGTTTTAATTAAAAAAAGAAAAGGTGAAATTTTCAATTTGTTTGATGACTTCCTGTGACAACCCGAAGTAATGACTGACAGATTTAAACTAATTCTGCAAACTTACTTGTCATGATCTATCATTTCTGAAAGTTTGGTGTCTTTAGTTTTTACCCTTTCAGAGATCTCGTCTGGATATGATCTCTTTTTACTACAGCGAAGCTCATTGCAAAGCAACGAGTAGGTCTTTTGTACTGTTTTGACTGGAAGTGACGTCAGCAAAAGAAAGGAATGAGATAAGACATCTCCAGTGACTTTAAAATTTCAATTTTGCATCAAAACCTGAAAAATAAGCTATTTCTGGCAACTTCCCGTTTGACCGGAAGTGATGTCGAGGGATGAAAAATTTGTTTGGACGCTTGTGGTTACATTAATTAACCAACAACATGTCGAATACGGGGAAAATGTGCATTTTCTGACTACTTCTGTTTTTGGCCGGAAGTGACGTCATTTGACGACTTTCGACAATCTTACTCGCTTCTACTTGTCATTTTGAACAATTTTGCTTGTTTGATGAATCACAAATTCTCAATAGTTTTTGAGATATTGAGAAAACACTTTCAGCCCCTGTAGATCCCTTATTTTAGGGGCCAGCCCTTATTTGTTGATATCAAATGAAAGAGCTTGTCATTTTGAACAACTTTTGTTATATATGTTTTACCAAAATATTTACAAGTAAAGAGATATTCTTGAAAAAAATGCAAAAAATTTTGATATTCTCAATAAGTCTATTTTCGGAGCATACCAAGCGTCAACGTGCAGCACTTCCGAGAAAAATGAAATACTTAGTACACATCTGTGAACATTGCTCTATCATCGCTGAAAATATCAAGTTCTTAAGTGATTTTTCAGGAAACGAGCGGACAAAGTGACCCTCTAAAAATCCCTAAATCGCAGAAATCTCCAGACCAGAAGTGACATCATCAAAATAAACAAGAGGTCCATGGGCCACAATGCTCACCTGAGTCAATATGGCCCTGCTGTTCTTTGTCAGCAGATTTCTTCTTCTGTATATTCATATGTAAAGCTTTGATCGACTGTTCTAGGCATAACCTATCCCCAGTTGCCATATTTTGAACGAAATTGAATCTAAACTTTCTGAGGATGCTTCTATATTCATATAACTAATCATGGTTTTACTGTTTTAGAAACGGAATTTTAAAGATGTCTGCCATCCTACCCTGGGGGTAGATAAGGGGGGGGGGGGGGGTCATGATTTGAACAAACTTGAATCTACACTACCTAAGGATGCTTCCATATCAATTTGACTAATTATGGATTTATTGTTCTTGAGAAGAAGATTTTTTAAGATATTTCTTATATATATTCTTTTGTTAAACCTTGATCCCCAATTATGGCCCCACCCTACTACTGGAAGATGCCTTGAACAAACTTGAATCTACAATACTTGGGGATGCTTCAATATCAAAATGACTAATCATGGCTTTCCTGTTCTAGAAAAGATTTTTCCTATATATTCCTATGTAAAACTTTGATCCCCCATTGTGGACCCACCCTACCCCCGGGGGTCTTGATTTCGACAAATTTGAATCTACACTACCCAAGGATGACTCATATCAATATGACTGATTGTGGCTTTGATGTTCTTGAGAAGAAGATTTTTAAAGAATTTTCCTATATTTCCTATGTAAAACTTTGATCCCCCATTTTGCCCTACCCTACCCCCAGGGGTCATGATTTGAACAAACTTCTACATTACCTGAGGATGATTCCTTATCAATATGACTATTTGTGGCTTTGTTGTTAAGGTGAAGATTTTTAAAGAATTTTCCTATATATTCCTATGGAAAACTTTGATCCCCCATTGTGGACCCACCCTACCCTCAGGGATCATGATTTGAACAAACTTGAATCTACACTACCCGAGGATGATTCCATATCAATATGACTAATTGTGGCTTTGTTGTTCTTGAGAAGAAGATTTTTAAAGAATTTTCCTATATATTCCTATGGAAAACTTTGATCCCCCATTGTGGCCCCACCCTACCCCCTGGGGTCATGATATGAACAAACTTGATTCTACACTACCCGAGGATGTTTCCATATCAATATGACTAATTATGGCTTTGTTGTTCTTGAGAAGAAGATTTTTAAAGAATTTTCCTTTATATTCCTATGTAAAACTTTGATTTCTCATTGTGGCCCCATTCTACCCCCGGGGGTCATGATTTGAACAAACTCAAATCTTCACTATGTAATGAGGGTTTCCCATAAGTTTCAACTTTTCTGGCCCAATGGTTCTTGAGAAGAAGATTTTTAAAAGAAGACACCAAATTTTCACCAATTCTTAATTATCACCCCTTGGATCAGGGTGTGGCCTTCCATTTGAATAAATTGAACCCCCTTCACCCAAGGATGCTTTCTGGTAAGTTTGGTTGAAATTGGCCCAGTATTTCTGGAAAAGAAGTCAAAAATGTGAAAAGTTTACAGACAGACAGATGGACTACTGACAAAATATGATTAGAGAAGCTCACTTGAGCTTTCAGCTCAGGTGAGCTAAAAAAATATATATCTAGTTTTTTGATGTTCTACCAGACCTGAAAGTTTAATGAAAATCAAACAAGCCGTGTCCGAGAACTCGGGTGCACAAAATCGGTAGGGGGAAAAAAAAATAGAGCAAAGCTTGTTGCAAAGCAACGAGAAGGTCTTCCATCTGATTTTCAGAAGCACTGTTTGTAAGATGGATAAATGAAAGTAAAGCATTCGTTAAAGAGAAGGCCTCCAGACCAAAATTGACGTCGATCTGTATTTAATTTTTTTATGCTTGAAATCTATGCTGATTTTCATTAAATAAAGCAAATCAAGACTACTTCTGGTTTGACCGGAAGTAACCCCAATCGACAGAAATTTGGTCAGAAGTCTTGGGTGAATTTAATAATTTGATTTTATGTTGATATCTGCAGAAATACGTCATTTATAGTTACTTCCTGTTTAACCGGAAGTTGTAAAAAGTGACGACACTCAACAGGAAATACAATCCTGTGTCCTCTGTGACA